GGGAAGTAGGCTACAGTCACTCAGTGGAAGGAGGAGGGTAGTGCATTAGAGGCTTACACAGTATGTCTCAACCCCTGAATGGCTTGCAGCCCATGTGACAGCCTCGAGACCTACAGGTAGTATATGTATAGGCCTACTGAAGGGGGAGGGGGTAAAGAAGGCAGTTGTCCTCGGGCCTGGTCCCTTTAAATTGCTGTTGGAGCACCATGCATGCTTTGTGCAGCTCTCAGGACTGGGAAGGGGGGGTACATGTTGCACCCTGGGCAACATGGCGGGCTGGCTGCCCCTGGACTTGCCCCTTTTGGGACCACAGAGATGCTCCCCCACCCCTGTTGCCCAGGGGCCTGTGCAGGTTGTTGGATTCCCTGTATGTATATTATGTGGATGTAGCTCACAAAGCACACAGAGGAACTGGATATGCAGGGCAAAATATGCATCTGCTTAGGGCACTTGAAAATTTGGGGCATCCTTGGGTCTTAATATCCACCCACCTGGCTCTTCTTATCCCTGTTCTGTGGTTCTGCTTTGTCAAGAGAAGATCTAGTTAATTTAAAATTGAAAAAACCTGCCAGACCTAATAGCAGAACACTGCACCTGTAAAAGAACCATTCAGGTTGTAACGAAGTCATTTAATGGGCATTTGCAAGCCCCAGGGATATATTCCCAGTTTCTGAATTTAGTGTGTTAGTTGGCAAGGCCTAAGTTTAAAATTTTCTTTAAAATATATCATTAGTGTGTTGCTGAAGATCATAAAATCACACCTCTAAAAAAATCATCATTTCACACCCCACCCACTGGTGTGAGAGAGTCCACGAAAGGAGGGTCAAATACCTGGAAGAGCTAATTTCCAGGATGGCCAGGAGGAGGTGCCACCAGAAGTGAGTGGACCATATGACACCTGTCTATACTGGCATTTACAATCTTAATTAACACCTGTTAAAACATGACAAATTCCAGTGTTGACATCTCTTTTTAACCATACAGATTTTGACCTGGCTATTTTAGTGTCTCTGAACCCAGGAGTGCAACATAGTTTGGAATTCAACACACTTTTAATAGGCTTGGAATAGTTCTGCATCGGAAGCCAAATTCTTGGGATACATGCATGAGAGGAGATGAGGAAACTGGAGTAGTGGGAAGAAGACATGAGGAAACTGGAGTACTGGGAAAAAGAGAAAGATGTATTTTCACTGGAGATTCCAGACACACACACTATTAATTATTAATGTAATATGCCAACAATGCCCCTCTGACATGTACATCAGACCAGACTGTCTCTATGCAAAAGAATAAATGGACACATCAAACATTAAGAATGGCAACATCCACAATCCAGTTGGGGAACCTTTTTACCCTCCCTGAGCACAGTTTTCAAATTGCAAGTTGCCATTCTCAGACAGAAAAACTTCAAAAACAGACTGCAGAGAGAAACTGCTGAACTGGAATTAATATGCAAATTTAACACTCTGAACCAAAGTCTAAACAAACACATGGAGTGGTTCTTGCATTACAATAGGTAATTTCTCATTCAGGTACTCTCAACTTCTCAACACTGTTGGAGATGAGCCACATCTATTCTGATTTAATAAGCATTGATGTCATATTCCCATCTCTACATTCTTGTTTTCCCTCCCCCCTTCTTCCCCCCCTTCAGCATCTGAAGGAGTGAGTTGTAGTTTGTGAAAGCTTATACTCTAATACCCAGTGCTGTGTCTAGACTGGCCAGTTTTTCCGGAAAAACTTGCCAGCTGTCTACACTGGCCGCTTGAATTTCTGCAAAAGCACTGACTTCCTACTGTAAGGAATCAGTGCTTTTTGCGGAAATACTATGCTGCTCCCATTCGGGCAAAAGTCCCTTTTGCGCAAAACTTTTGCGCAAAAGGGCCAGTTTAGACAGATGAGATTTGTTTTGCGCAAAAAAGCCCCAAACGCGAAAATAGCGATCGGGGCTCTTTTGCGCTAAAGCGTGTCTAGATTGGCCACAGACACTTTTCCACAAAAAGTGCTTTTGTGGAAAAGCATCCGTGCCAATCTAGACATTCTTTTCCGAAAATGCTTTTAACGGAAAACTTTTCCGTTAAAAGTATTTCCGGAAAACCATGCCAGTCTAGATGTAGCCAGTAAGTTTGTTTGTCTTTTAAGTGCCACTGGACTCCTTGCTTTTGCTGAAACAGACTAACAAGGCTTCCTCTCTGAAACATTACCATTTGCTTACCTGGGATAGCTTGGAATAGGGATGTTTAGGTGGGTAGTAACCAGAAACATGCCAGGAGCAAGCAAGAATACTGGAAAAACATTTGGGAGTAGAGCAGAATTACTGGACATTCTTAGGCATCTTATATATCCTGAAATAGTAATTTAGGCTCATCTCAGCCTCGGATAGTATTCATGAAGGAAAAATACTCTTTCTCTGGGGGGTGGTTCTGTGCTCAAGGGTCCTACCATCCAAACATGGTGATTTACAATGCACAGGCACTAATGTAGTGGCTTTCAACCTTTCCAAACTACTGTAGCTCTGGCAAGAGTCTGATTTGTCTTTCACCTCACTTAAAAACGACTTGCTAACAAATCAGATTTAAAAATACAAATGTCACAGCACACTGCTGTTGAAAAAAAATGCTCTAATTTTTATCATAAATTAAAAAAATAATCTCAAATATATTGTACTTACATGTCAGTGCAAAGATATGTAGTATAAACAAATCATTGTATGAAACTTTAGTTTGTACCGATTTGACCAGTGCTTTTTTTATGTAACCTGTTATAAAACTAAGCAAATTATCTAGATGAGTTGCTGTACCCTCTGGAAGACCCCAATATACCCCAGAAGTACACGTGCCCCACTGAGAACCACAAGTTTTTTTCTTTGTTTTGTTTTTAAGGGAACAGCAGAATTCACACTGCATCATCTTTCCACATTATGATTCCCCGGAGACCTAGACATGATTTGGGAGCTTTACTGGGACCTAGGGATTGCACAGACAAAAGTGTAGCAAGCTGAGAAACTCCATGACTACGTCTAGACTGGCATGATTTTCCACAAATGCTTTTAACGGAAAAGTTTTTCTGTTAAAAGCATTTGCGGAAAAGAGCGTCTAGATTGGCACAGACGCTTTTCCACAAAAGCACTTTTTGCGGAAAAGCATCCATGCCAATCTAGACGCGGATTTGCACAAGAAAGCCCCGATCGCCATTTTCACCCTCGGGGCTTTTTTGCGCAAAACAGTTTTTAGCTGTCTGCACCGGCCCTCTTGTGCAAAAACATTTCCGGAAAAAGGCTTTTGCCTGAACGGGAATGTCGAAGCATTTGCATAAGCACTGATTTCGGACAGTAGAACGTCAGTGCTTTTGCGCAAAATCAAGCGGCCAGTGTAGTCAGCTGGGAAGTTTTTGCGCAAAAGCAGTTGCTTTTGCGGAACAACTTGCCAGTCTAGACGCAGCCCCTGGGTGCCCATCTCTGCTGGCGTGGCATAAGTGTGTGATATTGATTAATAATTACGATGCTAAGGAGCAATGCTGTAGATAAGGGCAATAAACCGACAGGCTCTCCATGGGAGGGGTTTAGTGCTGGGTTAGGTCCACGCCACTGCCCCGCCTCCTGGGGAGCCATGTGCAGCCACCCAGCCTGCAGAGCACGAATGCCTTCAGTGATAGCTGGGAGTATCTTATCCTCAAATAGCCAAGCTTTTACTAGCAGATGGCTCTAGTTTGTGTACATGTGACATCTAAGGCATGTGGGAAATGTATGTGATGTGTCCATTTCATGTGTTTGCAAGTTTGCATGTCAGTACTGTTCATGTTTTCTTATTCATGTGCCTGATGTGCAGTGTGCGTTTGTGTGGGGGGGGTGGCTGGCGCGTGTAATGGCGGAGCTGGCCCAGGGGCAGAGCGCGGCTCCGGTGGGGATTAAGTCCGCCAGGTAACGGAGCCCGGGCACAGGAGGAGGCCTCTGCGCCGCCGCTAGGCCTCGGGGCGGGAGAGGGCGCGGGGCGGCCCGATTAGGTGGCCAGTGGGGCAGAGGGTGCAGCAGCCTCGCGCGTGGGGCGCAGGCGTCTGCGCCTCCTTCTGGGCAGGGGCCTGGGGTGCTCGCGCGGGGTCCTTCCCGGCCCCCCAGGGGCGGGAGAGCGGCAGGGGCAGCGGTGGGGGCCCTGGAGGCACCCTAGATGGCCGGAGTTGGGGCAGAGGGTGTGAGGAACCGGGGAGGCGAGGCCCGTGGCGCTCTCAGGCCTTGTCCACCACTTGCCCAACCTTTCTCTGTGAAAACTAACGCCCCGAGTTTGTGTCTGTGCAGCACTTTTCATCACCCAGGAGATGAAAGTGTTCCTGAAAACTGCCCCCTTCCCCGTAACATTTAGGAAGTGTGGGGTGGGAAATAGACCCTTACGCAGGGTGTATGCAGGCAAGGTTGAAGGAGGTCAAACAGCTGGAGTGTGCAGGTTCGGTGGGCTGTCTGAACATATAGTTACTTTCCAGTTCACTGACTGAGTTTATAACCCAGAATAAGTGGCTATTTCTTTAAAAAAAATACGAATTTACAACACAGGAGGCCACTTGCATGAAAAGTTACCTTTAACATTTGGCACAGTTAATAAAAATAAGTATTCCCCACTTTTATTTAAAAAGGATACACTAGGCTAGTTTAGACAAATCAATTTTAATATTTAAGGGACCTACTATTATCATTTGGGAGTTGGTGTCCATCCCGAAAGAGGTGGTAAAGTGTAACTTCTGTGATTCTAGAACACACATTCAAAGATGACTGGAGAGGGTTACAGAAATCCAAACAATATTTCAGCACAAAATCTAGGGTTCCTGAGAAACTATGGTGCTCCCTAGCAAGGTGCAAGTTTATGAACATGATTTTAAAGACAAGGGACCACAATTTATCAGTTTTGCTAATTGTGCAAAATTCATTGCCGTGTATGTTCATTTTTCTCATTCCATATTTATCGCAGGTGTTAAATGCAACTTGTTCATTGTGGTTATTATTTACATCCCAACAGGACATAACATGGCTAACTACTAGAAGCAAGTCTTGAAGATTCTGTATGGTCTTACTGTCACTTTCCAGTATTACTGGGGTGGTGGGGGAAAAGATCTCCTGTTGCCCAGATACTTGTGTTTTTTCTTTAACTGAGAAGCTCCTGGAGAAATGAGTTGGATCATAAAACCTTTTTGAGCTATTGTTCTAATGAAATGAAAGGGCTCACCACTTTGTACAATTCACTCATAAACTAATATGGTAGCGAATATTGATTTTTATCTAATCTTCAGAGAATTGTGCAAAGACACTGGCAATTCTAGATAGCACATCTACTTTTTTTCAGAAATCCAAAAATTATTTGCCTCCTACTGCTTTTCAGCTGTTGATTCAAAACATCACATCTGTGTCATGTTTTGCAATATGCAATAGATAGTTCTCATCTGCGATGACCTAGACCAAGCTGCAAATCAGATTTTTCAGTGACTGTAACAGCTGTGTCGACTTGACTGTATGCTGATGACTGAGTCTTCCTGTTAGCATCAGATTGTTAATCTTTGGAGGCTGTTGTATTGTAGAGACGCATGTCATAATCTTGCTGACTTTTTACTGAAGGCCTCCAGCTGCAAAAATTCATTTTGAGTACTTGAGACTTTCTGCCTGTTCTGAAGTAATGAATGGATTTGATCTTGGACAACCTGCTGCTCAGGTGGAAGAAAAGTTTTTCATTATTTGCTCATCATGTATGGCATTTTGAAGGGAAACAGAGTACTGCATTGGAAACCTACTGAACTCACATTGAAATGCACCATTCACTGGATCAATAACAAGTTAAATGGGAAGGGGGAATTTCTGCGACTGCACCAACTCATGTATATAGTGAAAGTTGGTTGCTTACCTGTCCTATGTGGCTGCACTGTCAAATTTGTGACTTGTGGTAGGATTGTTCCACACACTCATATCCAGAGAAAATGGAATATAAAACTTTGCTGTAATCAGAGCCCTCATTAATTGTAAATTGGCTATTCTTTGCATTTTGTAGGGGAATGAATAAATTGGTATCCCTTAGCCTAGAATATACTGAGTTATTCTAGTGTAATCTTTAAGTTTCCAACATCATCTGCTTCAAATGAAGTTTCCTATTTCTCTGATAAATGTGGGCTCCCTCATTTTTTTGTAGTTGTCACTGATTTTTCTATTCTGTAGGATGACTGTATGCTTCCTGGTTTGACAGCCTTATTCAGTATAATAGGGGAAATTGTTGATTCTGGGCAAAAAAATAGTGAACTTGGTCTCAAGATCTAGCTTAATGATTGTGAAGGGAGTTTAGTAATTGAGTACAAGTAGATTTGGTTCATGCGCAGGTATGATGGCACTAAATCGTCACTGAGGTCTCAGTGATCGTTATGCAATGAGGTATGTGGTGTTGGTTCACGTACTTGTGGGCATTTGTGTGCCTCACTACTCCAACAATCACAGTTGACACTTTAAGCATTGTTGGCATAGGGCAAGAATTGAATTGGGCAGAGACAACTTCTGCTGTCTTGTCCCTAGAAACGGTGACCAAGATCTTGATTGAAATTAGGGAAGTTTGACTGTACTTGTCCATGCCATACCCTATTCCGTAGATAAATGTAATGGGGTGGATTTCAGCAATATATGTTTTTATGAACGGTGTTCACTTTAATAAAAAAATAAAGCAAACCTTAGACCTGGTACAGCTCAGCTCTGGCCCCTGGGTTACTGCTGTAAATGTCTCTCTGTGGTTTTAAATTTAATTTTGAACTAAAACTGCAGATAGGACTATTAAATCCACTGGAGGTCCATTTTCACTTCTTGAATGGGTCACAGTATTGTAAATCTTGGTTGTACCATCAGTACTGTGAGTGACTAATTTTCAGATCAGTACTCCTGGGTGATCAGCCTTAGTAACTTCATGCTTAGATATTGCTTTTTTATATTAATAGTATCACATTTCAGATTCAAACCTACAAAACCAAAAAAACCCACCCCTCCAATGTATGTTGAGGCTTTAAGATGTGTTCTGCCTGCCCTCCATACGGAGACTTAGATTAGTCGATTAATTTACATATGCATTAGCTAGCCTTCATATGGAGGCAGCTGATATTGTAATTTAGAATTGTATTGCTTTTGTGGGTTAGAACAGTTGTACTACTCCTTTAAGTAATGTAACTTGTATTAATAAATATTCCTGGTGATTCATCCCCCTTCCCTTCTTGACAGTCTCACCTTATAGTAAATCATTTCTATTTGAATGCTAGTCACCTTTCCACATGCACATGGTACTTTTGCTGTGAAGTGATTTGCATGATAAGATTTCATCATACAAATCTTAATTTGAGAAACTAGCAAGATACTCACTAGCCAGAGATTTAAATGACAGTCATGTCAGTGATGTGCTTCAGTTAATGGCCTGGTAAGCTTTTGTCCTGCCAACTTTGGGCTCTGGGATTTTTATCGTGGGTTCTGTGTGTAAATTCCATCTTTCATATCAGGTTCTGCCTTATAGGCCTTTTTTAAATAAAAAGGGTGGGAGAAATACTTGCACTACTCCTTTTGGAGCGAGATACCTCTCTGCCCCTTTTCCCCATTTCTAGTCTCCTAGATGAGGGAAAGGGGAAGTAAGGTGTCAGTTACTCAAACCTCTCCTCCCTGGCATCTTTTTTTTTCTCTTGTAGTAGAGTCTCTTTGAATGATTTAATAGCTGATCTTTGCTGCCACAGCTAGCTTTCTGAGCTAATGTAACACAAAATTAACATTATTCTGGATAGTTTCACCACCCCTCGCAGGGTTCTGGATAGCAGCTGAGAAACTGATATATTATCATTCGTATTCTACTTGACAAACATGAGCAGCAGCAGAGGCACTGAAATTGCTTGAAGATTCAGGGCAATAATATTTCAATGACTTGTACTGTGTTAACATCTGAAAGATTCTGTTGTTAGCCATAAGCTAGAATCTTAGACTAAATTCTGTAGAAGTTGATTTTTTAGATCCCACCACACTTGCAATCAAAACTTTCATCTACCACACACTACTGGATTTTCAGTCCTTTCATAATATTGTAAAAGAAGGATACACCAGAGGCATAAATACAAAAGTCTAAAAGATACAATTCACGTTTCACTGACTACTAGGAATACTTGAATTTTAAAAATAGTTTTATTTTTATCTTTGTTAATAAAATACATATAACTATCACTTTTTCCCGTGACTGTACTTCTTCAAATGTGTAGCTCAGGCTTTGAATGGCCAGACAAATCCCAAAAGCAGGACAATCATAGAAATAATTTCTGATTGTGTGCTATTTCTACAACACTTTAGAATTATACTGAATAAAAGCTTTTATATTGGGGGAATAGGGAATGACGTCTAGAGGGGTGAAAGCAGTAGCTAGCAGTACATTACTCAAGGTCATCCCTAGCCCTTATCTGACTGGCTGCTTGCTTTTGTTAATTTCCTAGCTTCAGCATGTTTCATTTATCTTCCTGCAAAACCTGTAGTAATAAATGTGGCTCTTTTTGTAACTTAAAGACAAATTAAAACATATGGTAACTGTTATATCCATTTTAAATGTTTCCTAGGCTTTACTTGGTAGTTTGATTTTGATTTTTTTTCTCTTGTGGTAAGTGATTGGACAGTGGTCTCTGCATCAGCAATCTTTAAAAATATATTTTTAAAATTTTCATAAGCTTTGACCAGCTTGAAAGAAATGTGCATGGTGAAAATACTAACTTTGAATTTTAATCTAGTTTCTGTGGGCCAAAATCTGCCCTAGATTGTGTATATTTTTTTTTACTCTTAGCAGGGTGGTTGGGAAATAGCACAGGAGTGCCAAAGGACAGGATTTGATCTATTTAAAGTATAAATTCAGTTGTGGAAACTGGAGGAAAAAAAAAAAGAACAGAATAACTGTTAAAATGGGAAACTGTTCTCAGTGAACCTGTTAAAATATATCAGTAATGTGACAGTATGTTTGGACTGGCAGAACAACTATTGCAGTTTTGTGAATTATAAATTACTACATGGGAGCTATTAGTAGATTCCAAAGACTGATACTAATCTTTATTTTTCAGTCAGGGAGAGAAGACGGGGCTGAGCCCCCAGAGCACTGGGGTGGAAGCAGAGCTATGCCTGAGCTGGGATGGGCGGCTCTTTCCTGCTGCTCCCGAGTGCAGGGTGGGCAATAACCTTGTAGTTTTTAGTAGTGAAAACACACTACATTTAAGACCAAAAAGAGAAAAAATATATATATATAATACACTTTTTAAAAAGACAATCTTTCTAAAAGCACACCAAAAATGTAAAAATAAAGTTTTCAGCTACCAGTTCAAGAGACAAGGGGAGCAACAAGTTGGTAACAACAGCAAGACGGAGTGTGCTTGTGCACGTGTGTGTGTGTGTGTGAGAGAGTGAGTGCGTGAGTGACACAGAATAATCAATACTTATCATATGCATGTGGTAAATAAATAAATATATATATATATATATATATATATAAATAAATTTTTTTTTCACTATTGAAGTATTGCTTGAATGTAGATTACTTTAATAAAGCAACCAAGAGAGGGCTAGGCTAGCAGATGGAAGGAGGGCCAGAAACATGCCATGGTATGGAATATAGCAAATTATGTGAGAAGGCACCTTGAGACCCAGCACATATTAATGTGACCTCTAAAGTTGTATTTACATGAATTCCGTGGGTTTATTTGACACACGCCACATCTGAGTTGTTTAGTACCAGTCTTAAGTAATTACAAAATTATGCAGAGCTGCATTATTCCACATATTAAAAAGAAGTGAGTGCTAAGCCCCTCCCTTTCTCTTCAGCAGGGTCTAGAAAAGATGCAATTTGGGTAACAGTTGCTTGTGTTTAATTTTTAGTTGTGCATGCAAGAGTACCGTCTCAGGATTACAAAAATCTGATAGAAAAAAGGAGGAAATCAAGAACTTGCATTCCTGATACTGTTACTTTTTTTTTTTTTTTTTTTAAGAGGGGTGAAGACAACTGAAGGCCATTTTCATATAACAATGGCTTTTACTCTTTCAGTTCACTTTAAAAAAAACATCCTAGTGTAGTAGAAATCCATGTTACAAAGAGCTTTCTACTTTACTGTGGGTCCTAGTTGTGGATGGGTGACTTTTCCTCTGCAGCTGTTGGTAGTGTCTGCAACTTTGAATCCTTGTAGATGTGTTGGAAAGCTACATTTTAGAAACTTCTCTGGTTATATTTTTCCATCTCCTCTTTATCGTGGAGAACATCGGTGTAAAAAAAGATGCTTTTAATTTGTCCCTGTTGCTTATTCTCTACTGAAATCCCAATTAGTAATATTCTGATATCAATACTGATTGTATTGGATTTTTTTTCTGCTACTTATTCTCCATCTGAACTAAATCCTCCATCTAACTCCTAATGCAGAGCCTGTTAAAATATTTTTCTGTGGGAAAGAATGAGGGGAACAATATGGAATAGGACATTTCAGCAATTATTAGGTTTTGCCTGAAGCATCATTTCATGTACTTCAGGCTGCTCTTTATTAACAAAAATCCCTTTGAAAATAGGGTAGTCTTGTATATTAAATATCCCCACATTTATTGGTTTTCTGGCTCCCCCTTTTTTTGGTATCTGTACACTTCTGTCTTTAATGAAGTTTTCCTTGCGACACCCCTGTGAATTAAGACATGCTAATATTTCCATTTTACAGGTGACAAAATGAGGCAAAGAGACAAGTGACTTACTTGACACCACACAGAAAGTCTGTCACAAATCGGGGAATTAGACTCCTAAGTCCCAGCCTAGTACCAAAGAACTTAGTTGCTATAGCTGATATTTTAGGTATGCTAATTTTTTTTTAATCTACTTCAACAGATTGCTGCTAAAATTGGAGATATTCCTCACTTGAATAATTCCACGCCACTGGTGGACCCCTCTGTCTATGGTTATGGAGTACAAAAAAGGCCACTGGATGATGGAGGTAAGCTGGCTATTTTTTTACAATAGTTATTGTGATATAGCTTTCAGGTGTGGTCATCTGTGGACATGGAACTTGGGGATCAGTTTTGCATTTGTCATAAAAGTATCTGAGATTAGTGGACAACTATGTGTAGAGATTACATAAGAATTCCTGTGCTGTTTAGCCTTGCTCAGTGTATACATCACCTTTTTTACTATATTGATAAAATGATACGTTCTACAAGTAATATTATCAGTTTGCTAGTTTTTAGAGAATTACATTACTTAGCCAAGTATTTAACAGTTGTATTGTAAATGAAGCACTGTTGTGTTATAGGGACATTGTACATGTTACAAAACGACAGTTGCTGCCTGAAATTACTTATAGCCTATGTACAATACCATTTACTGTTTTATAGCTATAAGATGATTGGCAAGTATAACGAGCAGCAGTCACAGTACAACAGCTGGTTATGTATGCATCTTAGCACAGACAAGTTTTAAAGAGAGACTTGAGAGGAAACTGATGTGGATATTCCTAATGGGCAGGTTATTTCCTATGCTTCCACTAAAGTATTTCTTAAACCTTTCTCCGATGTATGTGGTTATGGCCGTGGTTTGAGTCACAATACTGGACTAGAGAGACCCCCTTGTCTGATCCTTATGTTGCATTAATATTCATTTGTTTAAAATATCCTTGTGAATAACTAAACTGAAGGCCTCCAGTGAAACTCAACCACACTCTGTCCTTCCATAATTGACTTGAGAAGGTAGCTGCAAAGTCAAAAATGAACCAGTGTAATCCAGAAATGATCAGGTACAATTTGGGGTGCATCAGCATTAGTGTTGAGAATATCTGAAATAGCACTTGTATGTTGAATATTGTGTACTGGTGTGGAGCAGATGCAGCCCCACATGACTTCACCAGGTTTGAACAGTTTGCTGGTTATCTTTTGTAACCAAGATGGGCCTCTTCAGAGTGTTACTAGTTTCCTAGCTAGACTAACCAAAAGTTTGTGTTTGACTAGACCGTAAGTGCTTACCACATACACTTTGACCCAGGTAGAACTGTAATAGTCTCTCTTTCCTTGCCAGTAGTTCCAGGCTTCATCTCCCCTGAAGATTGCATTCAACAAAAACACATGTCTGATTATGGGCATATATGTCTAATGAGGGTTCCTCCATTACAGAATTATGCTCCTTACAGTGCTCAGTGGTAAGGCCTCACTTTTCTTCAAGTGAGAGTTGAAAAATATTTTTACTTCAGTGAATGTAAGAATGGTCTGACTCAGCATGGCTGATCGTCATCTAGCCCAATATCTTGTTTTCCAACAATGGCAGGTACCAGATGCCTGAGAGGGAATGAATAGATGCAGTGATCCATCCCCTGTTGTCCAATCAGAGGTTAATGGGCATGTGGCTGTAGATGGTCAGGGAGGCAAACAGCCATTGATGGACCTATCTTCCATTAACTTATATATTTCTTTTTTTGATCCAGTTATACTTTTGGCCTTTAAAACATCATCTGGTTGACTATACTATGTGATATGTTTGGTTCTAGTGTCGTGAATGGGTAAATAACGCTTCCTTGTTCACTTTCTCCACAGCATTTGCAGTTTTATAGAACTGTTTCTTATTGCCCCATAGTCTTTTCCAAGGTGAGCCGTGTCAGTCTTTTAAGTCTCTCCTCCTGTGCAAGCTGTTCCATACCCCAATAATGTTTGTTGCCCTTCTATGCACTTTTTTTTTGTTTTAGAAGGGACAACCAGCCTCGAATGCAGAATTTGAGGTGTGACATACCATGGATTCATATAGTGGCATTGTGATATTTTCTCTTTTCTTTGTCCTGAGGCAGAGCTTCAGAAACTTGATTGCATCATGACCTTATCTGACAAGAAATATTATTTCATGACCCAAGAAGGGGGCTCAGGCTTCTGCCCTGCCTGAATCCTACTGTCCCGGGTTGGGGGGACAAAGCCTGAGCCTCGCGCTCTGGGCAGTGGAGCTAAAGCTGAAACAAAAGGCTTCAGCCACACTTAGTGCTCTGAACGCAGGCTCCCTATCATCAGGGCTAAAGCCCTTTGACTTTGGCCCCAGGTGGTGGGTCTTGGCCTTTGTCCCTAGCTCCTAGCAAGCCTGATGACTCCATTCCAAGGGGGTTGTGACCCACTTTGGCATCCTAAACCACTGCTCTAATTGATCCTAACATGTTTGCTTTTTTCACTGCCTCTCCACATTAAGCAGTTGATCCTAACACGTTTGCTTTTTTCACTGCCTCTCCACATTAAGCAGATATTTTCAGAGAACTATCAACAGCTCTTTCTGGAGTCGTACCAGTTAATTTAGAATCCTTTGTTTTGTGTTTGGGTTTCTTTTTCCAATATGCATTACTTTGCATTTACCAGCTTTGAATTTCATCTGTCATTTTGTTGTCCATTTTGTGAGAACTCTTTACTACTTTTCTCAGCTTGGACTTGACTGAGTAATTTTGAATCATGAGCAAATTTTGCCACCTCACTGTTTGCCCCTTCTTTTTCTAGGTCACTTACGAGTAAAATGAAAAGCACAGGTCCTTTGT